TATATATATATATATATATATATATATATATATATACTGTATTTTGACATTTTCTGAAGATTACATTTAATTACTTTTGTTTTAAAACATAAACATTAAAAGAATGTTAGATGATGGTAAAGGCAATCTAAATGTCAAAATAAAGAAATGCTAAATTTATTAGCATCAAATATAAATTATCAGCCGATAATAATAAACAAAAAAATATTATAATATCGGCCAATAACCCAACACACTCTTAAGGCAATTTATAACTATTTCAAATTTTCACAAGTTGGTGGCTAATTCGTATGAATTTGTTCATTCCCATTCATATGTTTATACATACAATTCGCTTATGTCCCACTGATGGTTAGATTTAGATTACCTTTATGCTTACTTTTTGAAAAATCTTTTATTTTTTTAATTAAATTCGTTTCTATATGAATCACATCATACAAATTCATACAAAATCCTCCCTGTGAAATAGTTACGTTTTCTCATGAGATCGAGTTGATAACCGATATGATACCGATATATTGTGCATTCCCAAATAAAAATACAGGGGATCCATTTACAAAAATATCAACATAATGCTGTAAGCGTTGTGATTGCATAAACATTTATTATTTTATTGAATTCTCAGGACTATTGAAGGTTTGTGCTTGTAGAAATAGAAGGCCTGCAGAACTTTCACAACAACTTCATAACACTGACCTACAGCCGACACAAGTTATTCAACAGCATCTAGATCCAAACCAATCACAGGTACATTATCTATCTATCTATCTATCTATCTATCTATCTATCTATCTATCTATCTATCTATCTATCTATCTATCTATCTATCTATCTATCTATCTATCTATCTATCTATCTATCTAAAACTAATTTCTTCATTGTTCTTTCAGCATGCTGAAGAGGCCTCTTCCATGTTGTACACAAATATTCATCCTAGTTCAGTCAACAGCACTTATGTTGCTTTGCAGCTGCCAAAACTATAAAAAGAAGCATGCAGCTGACCTCATACTTATTTCACAGCATTTAAGAACAAACTGAAACTCTTGTGGTTGTCCAAGCACACATTTAGATGATGGATGTGCACTGTGGTTTGGTTTGCTTCAGAAAAAGTGTTGCGTCCAGACAGGTGGTCTGCATTTTAACCCAGTCAAGAGTTTTTCTCTTTGCCTTTGTGTTATACTATAAATGTAAATCTTTAAATTTATGTTATGTAATATCTTTCAGTCAGTCACTTATGAAGTTCATGTGATTGGTAAAAAAAGTGGCCGGAGCAAACCTGATTTCCTGTGATTGACGTGTTTGATATTTTGTGATGCTAACATTTGTGTATCAGTCTTCTCACCAAGTGTTTGATATGCTATGATATATTATGCCTTATATATTTTATAGCAAATTAAGGCCTTTCAGCGACTGCTAATGTTATTAACTTAAAGTGCTAATTAAAAGGCTTATTAAATGAAAGTGTCATGAAATCCCCTTATATCATCACACTTCTGCAGAATGCTTAAAAAAGGTGTGATAATTTGCAGAAAGGAACATATGGAGGTGGGGACAGCCACACAAATGTCTAGATCTGAGATAAGCAGAGTAATACTAGCAATATTTGTCAACTGAGAATAAAAGTTGTTCTGAATATCCTGTAGGCTAAGTTTTCAAACCACACTGCTGCTGTAGCTGTAATTCAGCAACAAGTCTCAGAAATCAGCCAGTAATGTCTAAAAATGCAAGCGTTGGATCAGATTTCTCATTCTTTTTGACAATGACGTTGTTAAATTTCCATTATGTTTTCTCCATTAAATACAAAGACTGTATGAATAAAACTTGTGCGTTTGAGCAGTTTTATTTGAAAAACAAATGCATGCTGAATGGACTATGGCTCTGATTTGAACTTGTTTAGCTCTGTGCTCTATTTAATGTTACATTCATTCATAGTTAACTTTATTAAAAGAAAGAAAAACATTAAAAATAACATACAGTTACAAATTTTCCTGGGCATGCCGTACTTTTCTTTAGTGACCTTTTGTGGTCCCTTTAGAACATACTTTCTCTTTAGTGAAGACACAACAGCGCCACTACTTGGCAGACAGGATGAGCAGACAAATAATTCCAGTGAAGCAGCAGATGAAATAAAAACCTCTGCATCAACACTAGAGGTCAGTAGACTGTAATCACTGGAGGTGAGTCTATAAGACACATTCAACATAAATATGCAATATTTATTTTTTGTCATACTGAGTATCTCTAGATTATTACATAACTGTTAATAAGCAGGGTTTATTTAGTTATATGCATGCAGTACTTTGACTCTGCTACAAGGAAACAATAATAAAAAATATGAGTATTGAGGTGGTTTATAAATGAGCCACAAACCAACCAAGTGGAAGCAAAAAGATGATGAAACCACTTCCTGGTGTGTCACATTTCCAGTGTAACCTCCTTAAAATACAAAGCACACACACACACACACACACACACACACACACACACACACACACACACTAAACGAAAAAAATTCTTAAAAAACAAACAAACAAAAAACCATTCACATATAAAACCCATGTACACTATTTTTTGTTATAAATATGAATGCACTCTGACCAGCTTAGTTTATGAGTCAAACAGAAACCTGTTGTGGTCTGAGCTTTATTTGGGTCAGTGACGCACAGAAGTCAACTATGAACTATGAATGTGTGTGTGTGTTTTTTTTTTCCCTTTTCTTTTTTCTGTTGGGTGAACAAATAGTACTTGTTCCTAATAGTGTCTATTAATGTATGTGTGGTTGATTAGTTTGTGAGTAAAGTATATCTTGTCCAACTGTATGAACCTCACAGTCTCACACCCATTCTGCTTAAATTTTGTGCAAAGCTATATGTGGTGACCTTTTCATCATAAACTGTATTTCAAGTCAAAATATCAACAATTATAGTCCATTTGGCTAAAGCTCAGAGCTGGCAACTAGAAGGTTGTTGGTTTGAGTCCTGCAAGGAGAAAGTCAAAAGCCATTATGTGCTGTTATCTGAGGGACAACCTGGTTACACCTGGGTTTAACATTTGATAGAATCAGTGCATGCTACAGAAAATGAAAAGATATAGTGATTCACATTTAAAAATAATACAGAATTAAAAACAGTATACATATTTTTCCCCATAGGCTAAAACACCAGCTTTCGCCAACAATCCAAAGCGCTCGCCTCAACTCTTAAGGAATATTACACTCAGTAAGATATATAAATGTAAACACTGAAGAATGTATTTGTTTTCTGTTATTCTGTCAATATGGGGTGCTGTGTGTACATTAATGAGGAAAAAAAATGAACTTAAATGATTTTAGCAAATGGCTGCAATATAACAAAGAGTGAAAAATTTAAGGGGGTCTGAATACTTTCCGTACCCACTGTAATAACAGGGCTGTGTACATAAAAAAAAAAATAACCACAACTATGTGCCTGTGCGCGTTCACGCGATAGGATGTACACTCCTGTCTAGGAGTTTCGAGCGATTATTGAGGTGATTGTATCATAAGTTAAACTGCTGAAGAATATGGTTCTCGCCTTCGTTTATGGTTGTGGCATTTCAATGGTATGTATTAAAATATTTTTTATTCATTCAGTTCTTGCAATATAGAGAAAAATAATGTTATGTAAATTTGCAGGAGTTACATGTCAACCACCGTTTTTTAATAATAGAAGAGAGTTTAAGTTTTTCTCATCTATGTCAAATCAGTCTGAAATGCAACTCACTTTTTACTGTTTAGTTAGGTAAAAAGTGGAATAAAGAAAGTAAAAGGGTAATGTTCATGTATGAATGTGTTTCAGGAGTGTTTGGTGTTGTGGCAGGTGAAATGAAGACTGTGTCAGTGATGGAGGGAGATTCAGTCACTCTACACACTGATACTGACACACAGAGAAATAATGCGGTGATAGAGTGGATGTTTGGAGCTGAAAACCCAGATACTGTCATTGCTGAAATCAACAGATCAGCAAATATCAGTCATATTACTGATGAGAGATTCAGAGACAGAGTGAAGATGGACAGTCAGACTGGATCTCTAACCATCACAAACATCAGAACCACAGACTCTGGACTTTATAAAGTAGAGATCACCACAAATAAATCAGCAGCAAAAACGTTCAATGTTACTGTCTATGGTGAGTACAGCAGCAGGATTTTTTCTTTCCAGAACTGTTTTGACCATAAATCTTTATCACAAATGATCAATGTATATTGAAGTGAATGAAATACAAGGAAAAAAGTAATTTATTAGTACTGTCCCCTGTTCATGTTGACCCTGATTTCTCTTCATCCTCTGATATCTTCCAGCTCTTCTTCCCGTTCCTGTCATCATCAGAGACACTTCACAATGTTCTTCATCGTCTGGAAGTTCATCAGTGTCTAAATGTTCAGTGCTGTGCTCAGTGCTGAATGTGAGTCATGTGACTCTCTCCTGGTACAAAGGAAACAGTTTAATCTCCAACATCAGTGCGTCTGATCTCAGCATCAGTCTCTCTTTACCTCTGGAGGTGGAACATCAGGATAAAAACACATACAGCTGTGTGCTGAACAACAACATCAGCAACCAGACCAAACATCTGAACATCAGTCAACTCTGTCAGCCGTGTGCAGGTACATCAGAGATGATACTAGTGTTTACACTGAGCTGATCTTCTTTCAGCTGCCTGGTTTTTGATGATACATTTAAAAAAAAAAAATTTTTTTTTATTGCTATTCAAATATATATATATACAGTATATATATACAGTATATAACCCACATATGTATTTTTTATATAGTATTTCATTAGATTAATTGATCATTGTCATCATATTATTTAGATTTTATTTACCAATTTACAATTTAATTTAATGTTTACTAATTGTCATTCTGTGTAATAGATTTCTTCCCCATTCAGACTGTTACTCTGGTGTTTGGTCTGATCAGTGTTGTTCTGGTCTTTGGGATGTTTGGTGAGTTGGATTCTGACTTATTACAATTCAATGTACAGTAGCATGACCATAGCGTCTGTAAAATAGGAACATCATTTAATTTTCTGGTACATTGGTTAAGTTGTTCTTAATGTGTTAATGATTTTTTTCTTCTTAGCATTATTAGGGCTATTGAAGGTTTTTGCTGATGGAAGTTCAAGTAAGAAACACCCACAACGTCCTGAAAATACAGATCTACAGCAGCTTCTTATGGGTCTCGAACAACCTGAAGACTCGACACAAACACTGATACATTATGTACAAGTGTGATTAATATGAGTTATTGATTTCCCTATAATATATTTCAGAGTTGTGCAGCTCCTTTGTCAGTCTCTTAACTGCAACATGCTTGATAAAGCATATTTCAATATACCGAGGTGGACATTTACATATTGGGTGAAGGATTTGGGTCAATAGCAGAACTAGATATTCATGATGTAAGAGGTTCATAGTGACTGGATTTTATATTTTTCCATGTTTCTTAGATTTAGCATGCATAATATCTTGAATTGCTCCATATTATGCTTAACTACGATGTTGGATTTCAAAAAATGTGTATTAGTTGATATTTCTGTGTTCCCTTTTTAATAAAAAACAAAACAAAACAATTATTTGTGATTTTCATTTATTTATTTTAAGATTAATGCATATGCATCATATAACATACATTAAATAATACTAAACAAAAATATGGTAACATATTTAGTTCATACAGTTTTAAAAAGTGTGCTGATTACATCGAACTGTTGACAACAAATGTATTCTTGTGGCTCGCAGACAGAAAACGTTTCTTGCAGTGTTCAATTTACACACTTACCTGCAACAAAACTCTTCACTGCTCTTTTATTGCCTACCAAGCACTTGTATTTCCTTCAGAAAATATAATTGTATAATGTTAAAGTGATATTTAATAGATATAATGCTCCTGGATGTGTTGAACAAACCAGTTTTGACACAAACATTGTTTGGTGATTTAGGTCAGATGGTTTAGAGTTTTTAAAATGTCAAGGTTCAAAACAAATGCAAATAAATAAATAAATGAATAAGAAATAATAAGAAAAAAATACCTGTTTAAAAGTTCTGAGATCAGTAGGTTAGTCACTTTTAAGTGCTTTAAGGTTAATCAGAATACACAATGCTGCAAGTTTAAGGTCTCACACTGAAAGCAAATGAGAGACGATGATGGCTGATTGTGTTTGACATCTCAGACATAGGCCTACAATCCTGTTAAAAAAGTCACATCCACACTACAATAACCTGGAGCAAAAGACAAAACCCTTTTTTTGTTGTTGCTGTTGTGTAGTGCATTTTTCAAGTGATGTCTATTTTTCGAGGTGGTATTATTTGAGGAAAATGTATGCTCACGATAAAATCTAAACCAGTAGCCGAGTTATTTGTTTCAGGGCTCAGGCTTTTCTTCAGTTTGTGTTCAGTGTTGTGTTGTTACTAAAGCTGCCATTGGTCACGTGTGCTCCGGTGGGCGTGGCTACTGTTGCTGCTTTTGTTCAAGACATCAGAGCCAGAATAAACCTGATATCATCAAACATGGACAGTTTTAGATACTCTAAAAGATAAACAGTCTTTTTATTTCTTGATGAACATTTCAAAATGTCTTTTTGTCAATTCAGTTTGATGCAATTTAATGTGAATATTCGGACACCATGCAGCATATGAACAGTTCAGGTTAAAAAAAAACAAAACAAAACATACACACTGAAAAGTGCTGAGATCAGTATATTAACTTTTCAATTTTTAAAGGTTCATCAAAAACTAACTGTAGTAAATGGGGAAATAAGTCTGTGGTCACATTCACACAGAAGGCAAGTGATAGATATGTAACCACACTATTGGCTGATTGTATTTGACATCTCTCACACATTCAACCCTGTCAAAACCAGTCACATTCAGACTACAATAAACCGGAGCAACAGATAAAACGTTCACACAACATTCCTATGTATACAAGCATACGTTTTTAAAAAATAAGCATAACAAATACAAAAAAATGCGTTTTCAGTATGGGTGTGTGTAATTTACATTGCAGAGTAAAATGTCCAAGTATTGTCAGTTTATATTTTACCACAGGCCTTGTTTTACATATAAACTGAAGAACCCTATTATAAAACCCTATTATATTTTGACATCATGGCTGCAACACTCTATAATGTTAATTTATGTTTTACCTTTTTTAATTAATCATACATGTTACATAGTTCAACTGGTCATCTAATTTTATTAATATTTATTAGGATTTTTTTCATTTTTTTCCCCCTATGTATTTCTTATACATTATTTCTTGAATAACCAAACCTCAACTATATAAGATCAGATCCCTTGAACAGTTGATGAAGCTCCAGTCATAAAGAATATTTCACTATACAAATAGGCATTACTGTCGATTTTCTTTCCTTGCATTTCTAGCATCCTGAGGGGGTGGAGCTGAGATGTGACTAATGGAAGTGAAAAAAGGAAACGAGTAAGCACAAATATAAATTGAGAAGAGCCACAGTCTGTTTCTGGTCTCAAGATATTTTCCTTAGTTTGTGCCTGGTGTGGCTACTGTTGCAGTCTTTTGTTCATGACAAAAATTCAGAAGAGAAAAGACATAAATCGTTTTTTTTTCTTGGTGAACAATTCATATGAAATTGATGAAACTGATGAATTTTGAAAAAAGTTTTCAAATATCTGTTTATTAATGCTAAATTCAGACACCATGGTTATGAAGGAGAGCTGTTGAAATCTTGCCAGTTTATTTTTTTTGGTCATAAATATCAGGGCTCTCTGCTTAGTTTGTGAGTCAGACAGAAACCTGTTGTGGTCTGAGCTTTTTTGGGGTCAGTGTAGCACAAGTTCAACTAGATGAATATGGTTTATTCAGTTGGATGAACAAATGAAACACGTGAATGTGTCTGTTAATGGATGTGTAGTTTAGTATATCTTGTCCACCTGTTGATATGAACCCTGCAGTCTGACATCCATTCTGCTCTAAACAAAACAGTTTCACAGTCACATAAAACATACATCTATCAAGACTGATGTTTTAAAAAACCACCAAATAAAATCAAAGTGATGCATAAGATGAAGCAAGATTGGAGGAGCTGATTCCCATGGAATGGTTCTATTAGAGATTTCCAAAGTAAAGGTAACAGCCACTAGAGTTGTGCAAGGCTACACCAAAAGGTTATTTCATAGGTGTCGAATTCGAAATAATTTGCTAGAGCATTTATGTATGGAAATTATTCAATTATTCATTAATTATTCATGTACTGAAAATGTAGAGGTAGGCCTATAGTTAAAATAAAAAGATAAAGCACAATTAAAAGCAAATCATTCCCACTTCAAAATGAAACTCAAAATGTAGGGTTTTGTAGTAAAGCTAACATTTTTCTAACAAAGCTACAAACAATAGTGTACTAAATATTGAGTGTTCGAAATGTGAAGATGTTTAAGCATAAAAATTGAAAGTTTGTTGTCTGTTAGTGATAAAATAACAGGACGCATTAAAAAAAGAAAAAAAAAAAAGAAAGAAAAAATGGTTTCAAGCCTAAGCGTGTTCACGCGATAGGATGTGCAGTCCTGTCTAGGAACCTCAAGTGTGGTCTGTGGTGATTGTAACAGAAGTTTCTGACACCTTTAACTGCTGAAGGAATATGATTCTTGTTTTAGTTTTGCTGCGTTTATGGTTGTGGCATTTTAATGGTGAGTTTTTGTGTACTTCTTGTAATACAAGTAAAATAACATTATGTAAACTCCCAGGAACTAGGCTACGTATTAACGCGCGAATACATTTCTTATGCAAAACTTGATCACTTTAATCATTTGTAAAAGTGTACTTCAGTTTATTTGTGTCTTTCTGCGTTTTCTTCTACAGTCCCCCAAAAGCTATTCTTGCATTTAGTTTGAAAAAAGTGTTCAGAATTAAGATTTCGTGTATGAATGTGTTTCAGGAGTGTTTGGTGTTGTGGCAGGTGAAATGAAGACTGTGTCAGTGATGGAGGGAGATTCAGTCACTCTACACACTGATACTGACACACAGAGAAATAATGCGGTGATAGAGTGGATGTTTGGAGCTGAAAACCCAGATATTGTCATTGCTGAAATCAACAGAGAGGCAAATATCAGTCATGTTACTGATGAGAGATTCAGAGACAGAGTGAAGATGGACAGTCAGACTGGATCTCTCACCATCACAAACATCAGAACCACAGACTCTGGACTTTATAAAGTAGAGATCACCACAAATAAAGAAGCAGAGAAAACGTTCAATGTTACGATCTATGGTGAGTACAGCAGCAGAATTTCTCTCTCCAGAACTGTATTTTGACCATAAATCTTTATCACAAATGATCAATGTATATTGAAGTGAATGAAATACAAGGAAAAAAGTAATTTATTAGTACTGTCCCCTGTTCATGTTGACTCTGAAATCTGAAAAAGACTTTGACTCTGATTTCTCTTCATCCTCTGATATTTTCCAGCTCTTCTTCCCGTTCCTGTCATCATCAGAGACACTTCACAATGTTCTTCATCGTCTGGAAGTTCATCAGTGTCTAAATGTTCACTGCTGTGTTCAGTGCTGAATGTGAATCATGTGACTCTCTCCTGGAACAAAGGAAACAGTTTAATCTCCAGCATCAGTGCGTCTGATCTCAGCATCAGTCTCTCTTTACCTCTGGAGGTGGAACATCAGGATAAAAACACATACAGCTGTGTGCTGAACAACAACATCAGCAACCAGACCAAACATATGAACATCAGTCAACTCTGTCAGCCGTGTGCAGGTACATCAGAGATGATACTAGTGTTTACACTGAGCTGATCTTCTTTCAGCTGCCTGGTTTTTGATGATACATTTAAAAAAAAAAAATTTTTTTTTATTGCTATTCAAATATATATATATACAGTATATATATACAGTATATAACCCACATATGTATTTTTTATATAGTATTTCATTAGATTAATTGATCATTGTCATCATATTATTTAGATTTTATTTACCAATTTACGATTTCATTTAATGTTTACTAATTGTCATTCTGCGTAATAGATTTCATCCCCATTCAGACTGTTACTCTGGTGTTTGGTCTGATCAGTGTTGTTCTGGTCTTTGGGATGTTTGGTGAGTTGGATTCTGACTTATTACAATTCAATGTACAGTAGCATGACCGTAGCGTCTGTAAAATAGGAACATCATTTAATTTTCTGGTACATTGGTTAAGTTGTTCTTAATGTGTTAATGATTTTTTTCTTATAAAGATATTATATAGGCATATGTCGAGGGGAGTTTCACCCTCTTAACCAATGAGGATATGAATGACATACACATATAGGATCTTTGGCCAAGAACATGTGTTTATATAAAATGGTCACATGTACAGAAAAACATGGACATATTAGGAATAGATTTTTGGCGAAAGATGTTGAACTCGCTTCAGAGTTCATCACGAACTCCTTTACCCTGTAGTCCTAGCATTCATCTCCTTATTTGGGCATTTGAGCCAAGAAAAGGTAATGTATACATGTGCGCATGCATACCTCGAATATGAGTAAGAGACATTAAAACATCATACAAGAGAGAGAGAGAAACAGATAGAGGAGGGGGGATTCAGAGAGAATGCGTTGTATAGGGAACGAGTGAAAGAAGGAGAGAAGAAAAGGAGGGGTGAGGCATATCTGGAACCATTCTCAAGACAGAGAGTGTTTTCTAACAACTACGATGTTGGATTTCCAAAAATGTGTATTAGTTGATATTTCTGTGTTCCCTTTTTAATAAAAAAACAAAACAAAACAATTATTTGTGATTTTCATTCATTTATTTTAAGATTAATGCATATGCATCATATAACATACATTAAATAATACTAAACAAAAATATGGTAACATATTTGGTTCATACAGTTTTAAAAAGTGTACTGATTACATCGAACTGTTGACAACAAATTGATTCTTGTGGCTCGCAGACAGAAAACGTTTCTTGCAGTGTTCAATTTACACACTTACCTGCAACAAAACTCTTCACTGCTCTTTTATTGCCTACCAAGCACTTGTATTTCCTTCAGAAAATATAATTGTATAATGTTAAAGTGATATTTAATAGATATAATGCTCCTGGATGTGTTGAACAAACCAGTTTTGACAAACATTGTTTGGTGATTTAGGTCAGATGGTTTAGAGTTTAAAATGTCAAGGTTAAAAACAAATGCAAATAAATAAATAAATTAATAAGAAATAATAAGAAAAAAATACCTGTTTAAAAGTTCTGAGATCAGTAGGTTAGTCACTTTTAAGTGCTTTAAAGTTAATCAGAATACACAATGCTGCAAGTTTAAGGTCTCACACTGAAAGCAAATGAGAGACGATGATGGCTGATTGTGTTTGACATCTCAGACATAGGCCTACAATCCTGTTAAAAAAGTCACATCCACACTACAATAACCTGGAGCAAAAGACAAAACCCTTTTTTTGTTGTTGCTGTTGTGTAGTGCATTTTTCAAGTGATGTCTATTTTTCGAGGTGGTATTATTTGAGGAAAATGTATGCTCACGATAAAATCTAAACCAGTAGCCGAGTTAT